TCACTATCAATGTCTGCAAAAAAAAAATCAAGTCTTTTTTAAAAAATAATTTATGGTATGCATTTTGTGAAAATCCATTTGAATGAATTTGGTCTTTTCTTAATCAAAGAGCCCGATTCGATCTTCGTCGATTACTCTGATAAGCTCTCCTCATCTCTAGTATTTCTTTTTATCGTTCATGTCGTGTTGAACTAGATGTGAGCTAGATTAATTAGTCACATTGTTGGATTATAGTAATGAAATTGAGTTTTGTTTATATGTTTTACATGCCTTTAATTTGTTGACTTTCTTTTTGTCAAAAGTATATATTGTGGTGAGACATTGATTGTTTTCTAATATTTTCATAAAATTTAGATGACTGTTACACTTTTTTTAATTTCATTGTTTGTTATAGATTGAGTGCGTGTGTGAAAAGATGTCACATTGTCTTAACCTTGGTCTTTTCATAATCAAAGAGCACGATTCGATCTTCTTCGTCGATTACTCTGGCAAGCTCTCTATCCATCTCTAATGTATTTTTTTTTTCGTTTATGTTGTGCTGAATTAGATGTCAGTTAGCTTAGTTGGTTACCTTGTTGGATTAAAGTTATAAGATTGAATTTGTTTATATTTTTTTACATGCCTTTGTTGACTTTCATTGTTTATATGTTGTATTGAGACATTGATTGTTTTTGAACATGTTCATAGGTTTTAGATGATGTTACACTTTTTGAATTTTAATGTTTGTTATAAAATGAGTGCGTATTTGAAAAGATGTCACATCGTTTTAACCTTTCATATGATATTTATTAAGTATTCTATTTATCCTCAAACATTTTTTCTATTAGCGTCAAACATGCATTTAAAGAGTTAAGTAGGAAATTAGAGGGTGTAAGCTATTAATTAGTTTAAAGTTATTTATAAATTGATATGAATAGAACATGCATAACAGAAAGGGAACCACGGTCACATAATTTAGGTGGGTACGCATAGAAAGAAGATTTTGGCACACCGACTATTAGAGCATATTTTTTCACTCTACTCATAAAGAAGAGGACACACATAAATCACGAGGATGTCAAATTCATTTTTGGTTTGCATAATAGGGTTACTTTAGGTAAGATGATAATTTTCAAACAACTTTTTCAAAAATTTTAAAAAAATTGCTAGAAGAGGATGGTGATTGGGGGATATATGTAAAGCAATATTACTACCAAAAATTAATAAAAAGTTTTTGATAGACTATTCTGCACCTTATTGGTCGTTTAGTTTTTGGGGTAGAAAGTTGTTTGGTTGTTTATAATACTCCAATTTCTTACCATTCTTAGGTGTTAATTTTCATGTTTTTTAATCGTGTATTAAACAATCAACTTACACCTTGTTCAAAAAAAAAAAAATTCCCTTATCACAAAAATAACTACATAATCTTCCTATTAATATTGCTGTCTTTGAATAAATTAAATATTTTTTTATTACAAATACTATACATTTTTCCTACTTTTTACTCATTTATTATTTCAAATTATTCTACATAAATGTAATTTTTTTTTCTTTCTTCATATACCCTTGAAGTTAGTAAAAAACCTTCTATCCTTATTTTAGTTAACATGAATTCATACTTTCGCTCTCATTTTGTTAGCGGATAAAAATACCTTATCCTTTACAAAATAATAAATTTCTTTATACAAAAATGAAGTAGATGGAATATTTTGTCAAATAAATAAATAAATAAATAAATAAATAAATAGATGGAATAGAGCTATTTATGGGAAAAAAACTTGCGTAAACCTGGTCTACAATGATGTTATTGTGGACCTAAGAGGTTTATACGCAACGCAACTGACGTTATATTGAACATAGTGTAATTTTAACATGGTAACCTTATTTTTAACATAGTAATCTTTATTAAAACTTATGTGACCTTTAATATTATTGTGAGCATGAAGTATGACGTTATGTTGAACATAATTACCTTAATTTTAACATAGTGACCTTTATTATTCATGTTGACCAGTATATAAAAATTTCATTAAGGAAAAAAAAATAGCCTCTTATATTCTTTATAATGATGTCACAATAAATTTTATTTCAACATAATAACTTTTATTTTAATATAGTGTTTTTTTTTAATAAAACAAACATAGTGTCTCTAATATTGATAATTCATGATAAATTAGTGTGAACCTGGTCCACTTTAAGAGTTTGTACAAGGAATGAAAATCATGAAATAGAGAGATAACGTGCCTTAGTTTTGAATTGTGTGGCTGTTGGTGTACCTTACAAATTCCACTTTTAATTACTGCAAGTATCATTTTAGGTATAGATTAAAAAATCCCGAAATCTAGGGGAAAAAAAACCCTAGGATAACCTTAGTATACAATCCAACTCAAAACCCTATCCACCAATCACGCAAATCAAAAATCCTTTTGAACAACCAAATAAAAAATAAAAAAAATATAAAAAAGATGACATCACCACATAAAATCTCTCCCATATAATCTCAGTCGCTTTCCAACCGTCCACGTGGTACTATTCATCTTCCCCACCCCCATCATATCCAACATTCACCTTCTTTTCATTGGTCCACGACTCCCTTCTACTTTCTGGAACCCTCTCCATGAACAACACACCTCACTTCTTTCTATCTACGATACTTTTAAATAAAACGGGTATATAATAAATATTAGGATTAATACTGTTTTTTAATCCCAACTTTTACCAATTTAGTTTTATTAATCTCAACTTTGGATTATTCCTCAATAATCCTAACTTTAATGTGGTCTATCATTCTTCAATCCCAAAAACCGGTTACCGATTGAATGTGTTAAAATTTTTTTTTTGTTAAAGGACACGTGTCACAAATTAACTGGTTAAAAAAATATTTTTAAAAAAAACAAAAATTTAAAAATTTAAAAAATCAGAAAAGCAACCGCCAACCACCCCATGACGCCGTCCGGACGCCCAAATGCGCCGGTTTTCCCCTAGAAAACCTCTCGCCACCGTCGCCAACCATTTCCCCTCCTTTCGCCGGCTAATTGGCCCTTTTCATTTTCTCTCTCTCAATTTCTCTCTCCACCGAAAACCTCTCACCACCATCGCCAACCTAGAAAACCCCTTTTCATTTTCTCTCTCCTCTCAATTGACACCAGCCACGAAACCCGGCCACCTGTACGCCGGCCGTTCGTGAACCTCCCTTGAAACCCCTCCCTACTCTCGAAAACACCTAAACCTCCCCTAAAACCTCCGTTTCGTGGCTGGTGGCTGCAATTTTGTCGATCGTGGCTGTGATTGTGGGTTTCGAGGCTGCGATTTTAAGGTTTTGATGGCTGCGTGGGGAAATGGGAGGGGGTTTCGGGGAGGGGGAAAACAGCGACGCAAGGGGTGGGGGAGACGTGACGTTTCGGCGAGGGGAGGGGCGGCGGACTGGGCAGTGGTAGTGGAGGTTAGGGTGGGACGGTGAGGGAGGGGAGGTTTGCTGGGTTTTTCTGATTTTGTGGGTTTTTTTTTGTTTTTTTTTTTTGTTATTGTTTTTTTTTTTTTTTAGACCAATCAGGATTTGACACGTGTCAAGTGATCTGATATAATAGGTTTAGTTACGGTTGGGTATGAAGAATGATAGGCCACCTTAAAGTTGGGATTATTGAGGAATAATCCAAAGTTGGGATTAATGAAACTAAATTGGTAAAAGTTTGGATTAAAAAACAGTATTAATCCTAAATGTTATACATACATCCTCAAGCAAAAATTACTACTCGGTATGGTCTATGGAGTACAACCTAAAATATACTTGTATTATACGTACTTCACAATTTTTATTGTTTTTTTTCTCGTTAAAAAAAAAGTTGATTTTTTCTTTAGTACCTAAATTATTTGCAACGATATGATATAAAGTGTGAGTACAAAATTTCTAATCGTTGCAAATAATTTAAAACGGAAGTAGTATAAGAAATTTGTCTGTTATAGTAATCACTTTTAATGCATAAAAGTAATCATATTATCTTTTTATAACATCCCTAATAGTTTAATTTTACACAATTTACTACTCAGTTTTAATTTTAAATTAATTTTTCTACTGTTTACTACATTAACGTGTAAAAATACACATGTTATGTAATATGTTGTATTGTTATTTGATTAATTAGTACCAATGTACATCCTCCGTCCCATAATACTTGACACAGTATAGTTACCATTTTTGTCCGTCCCAAAATACTTGACACGTTACCAAATATGGAATGGAACCACTAATAAAAAAAATATTTTCTTATACTTTATTTGGGACCACAAATCCCAAAACTCAATTAAATCCTACATTCTCTCTCCTCACTACCCCTATTTCCCCCATTTTTTATTTTCTTACAATATAAAAATACAAAAGAGAATCACTTATATAATAAACAAATGTTTTAAATGGATTCACTTATAAATTTCTTAAATTACGTGTCCACCCAACATCCCAAGTATTATTGGACAAAGGGAGTATATTTTTATTGCATTAGCTTTTTATATCTTCTACTAATACGTATTTATGAATATTAATGACTAAAGTTACATATACATTTTGGCAAATGTATCAATTAAATTGTTGCGGGATGGAGTAGAAACAAAAGGTACAATGTATCATAGTAAAAGTTACCATATATTTTTTATTTAAAAAGCTAAAATGAAAATCACACTGAACCGAACATGTTAACATGTGAACCTAGAGAGTAGGTAAGAAAATCCCTTTACTTTCAAACAATTTGAAATTAGTGAAGCTCAAACTCAGGAATAAAAGTTACCGTAGTACCATACAATTGGACGGTACGATGGTGTACCTAAATTTTCTTTATTGAAATTACGAAACTACCCCGACCTATTTGAAAAAAATTTAGGCTACGACCAACCAAACACATCGCACGAGGTATACGCCAACGTGTCCACCTTCAAACGAGGAGAGAGAAAATACAACACTCTCTGAAATGTGATTGGTTAACGGACGAGGCTTCCATCCCCCCCCCCCCCCCCAACACACAACTATTCGTCAAGTCGTCTTTTCCTTTGTTGTTGTTGTTGGGTGGGGTGTGGTAGGCCCCACTTCCTTGCTAATCAAATATTAATGCCATCCAATTACATTCTTTTAACTGTTAATGCTACAGTACTCACACGTGTTTTATCCTCCTCACACGTGTCTACCTTAGTACTACAAATCCCACCTTATCTCTCTTTTTTTCTTTACCTATCTATTATACTCAGTGCGCCTCTTTCTTTACTCAACAACAAATAAACCAAACAACCAAAAAAAAAAAAAAAAAAAAAAAAAAAGGAAAAAAAGAGGAACCCTAGTTGCTAGTATTATCAATTACATGGCTGATGGAGGAGGTGGAGAGTGTTGTATAGCGAGGTGGGGTGGTGGTGGCCACGTTGCGGCGAATGGTAGTTACAATAAAACGTCCAAGATGGATATGATAATGCTCAAGTTTCGACCGATTGCCCCGAAGCCAGTATCTGGGACTACACCGGCTTCTGAAGGCGGAAGCGGAAGTAGTGGAAGTGGCCGTCATGCGAAAGCAGGCGGCCGAGGAAGGAGGAAAACTGGTAGTAATAACAAGGACTATAGTAACAATAGTAGTAGTAATAATAATAGGTGCAACAACAATAGTAGTAATAATAGGAGGAAGAGAAAGTCGAGCTCTCCAGATCGAAAAAATGATCTTGAGAATATTATTTCGTATAATTATCAAGATCAAAAATCAGATCTAACACTGCTTCCTCTGTTTCCTGAAGCACCTGATCTTAGCCCTACAGGTGCACAACATACCCTTCTGGCATAACTTTGATAATAGTAATAGTAATAGTAATAATGATAATATTTGTAACAAAAGCGGGAGTAGCCCGTCTTTTGAGGGTTATTACAACAATTGCCACGTTAGTTGGTGGTCTAACGTGGCGAGATCTGAGAGCTCCAGCGAATAAGGTCGTAGTAGAGTTTTCAAGAGATCGACAAGTGGAGCATCGATCGATCTCCAGGAGGTGGATGGTGAGATTTGCATGGGGATGGGACGTTAAAGCCCCGCCCTCGGCTTATGTCGGTAATTATTATTATCATCATATTATATATTCAAAATTGCCTAAGACCGTATTATTATTAATATTATTAGAGTTATATTAAGTAAATATTTTGAGTGATGCCTAAGACCTACTAATTGTAAATATTTTTGCAACAACTTTGTTTGGTTTTAGATCTTTTTCATCAAATCTAGCTTTTAATTTTTATTTTATGTAGTAGTAGTCATAGATCTCCCCTTCCCCTCACCCTTTTTGTATGAAATTTTTTGAAATTTTATCATCCTTATTTCTATCAATTAGATCCAAAGAGTAAGACTAACTTACAATAATTGATTGTGAGATCGGAGTGACTTTTCTCTCTATCGTGTGTTTTAATTGTTGAATACGTACCATTGGATATCATGTGGGTGACAGAAGCGATTTAACCAACAGGTACGAAAATATATTCGTGAAAACTACACTGTATCTAAACATTAAATTATTTTGTGGAATTACCGAATTACGTGTCACAAAGGTACAGAAATTCAGATCTGTAAGCCACAACACACTATAAATGATGGTACGTTTCAGAAACTTTTATTGTTAATTTCAGTAATTAATTATATTTGTAAAGTAATTAAATAATTTCCTAGTAATACGAAGTAACACGTACGGTACTAAACATCATTGAAATCAGTAAATATATGTTATTGTATCTAAAAAAAAAAAAAATTGTTATAGAATTAAAAATTACGTGTTTTTTATGGATTTATAATTTTTTTTAACGACAAGAAATTTTAAAAACTAAGATCATTATCATATAGTGGTTATTTCTGATAATACTAGTATAATGTATGCAAGCTTTAGAGTTCTTTAATAAAGCTGTTTCTAATTTTTCTTTTTATGATTCAACCTTTATCAAAAATATTTATTAGGGGTACGGTCATTAATTTATTGTTCCATAGCATTGTCTTAAAATAAGTAAAAGTTCAGATTTTAAATTAGTGAAAAACATTTTTAGTAATTTCACAAAATATTAATCCTACCATCAAAAAAAAAAATATATATATATATATATATTAATCCAATTGGTTGCGTGAAATTAAAATGAATTTCTATTCTCTTGTAAAAGGGCAAATCATCACTACCGCGAATAATTTTTTATTATTCGTTTATTTTTCATCAATTTTGACCTATTTTTCAATTTAAAAAATCGTCACTAGTGCTTTACATGGAATATTTCTCCATTTCTTGTACGATTTGTCCATTTGGGTCATCGTTGAGTGGCTTGAGCATGATAATTTTTTTAAAATTTATGCTCGTTACTAATAAGAAAAAAGCTCAATTAATAATGAAAAATGGAATTCAAAAAAAAAAAAAAAAAAAAAAAAAAAAACAAACAAAAAAGGTCCCTCAAAAACTTGCTATAACTATATTTCATTAAACAGGATAAATGTACTAATTTTAGAACTTATTATGGTTGAAAAATCCGAATTCATCATACACTCCATGAATTTGATGGATGAAAGTATTTTGTTATGTTGTAAAATTTGGCAATATTGCAAAGGATAACGAAAGTGTAAAACTACATACATATACTCCCGTATAAATGGACAACAATTAAGTATCCTTTGTTACCCTTAATTTCTTTGAAGCTGAAATGGGAACCAAAGCTTTATGATAGCAATCATATTCATAGCATGCTCTTTAATTAAACTTTACAAAATTTTCTCATTCAAAGATGAAGCTCTTGTCGATTGATTTGTCGTAGTTACGGAAAAATATATATATCTCTTTTAATTTTTACAGAATACTCAATAATTTCATTGTGAAAATTTAAAATTGCGAAATTCTTTAGGGTTTTTATAATCTATTAACTATTATTGAAGCAGGAAATTGCTGACATCATCATCTCCCCAAATTGTATACGTGTCGCTTTCTCATAAAAAAATTTCTCGCCAAATACACTTATGATGTCATATATATTTTTGGTTATTTTTTATTTTTAATCATTTTCATTTCAATCTTTTTACCGTATCAATAATTAAATAAATAAATTATTATTATTTTTTGGTAACTATAAATATTTTATTATTATTATTTTTATCTTTTAAAGGTTTTAATGTTATTTTGTGTATGTGTGGATTTTTTATTTTATTATTTTTTTTAAGGATTATCCAAGCAACCTAACTATGAAGTCATGTACTAATAAAATGGATATTTGTTATACAAAATGAACTAATGTTGTCATTAAATGTTTTCATTGTTTTGTATTTCCAAGGTGTTTCTATTTATTTAAATTACAAGTATTTTTAATTTATTAACTATTACTAAAATAGGAAATTACTGACATCATCGTCTCCCCAAATTGTATACGTGCCACTTTCTCATAATAAAATTTCCCACCTAATGCACTTATGATATCATATATATTTTTGGTTATTTTTTATTTTTAATTATTTTCATTTCAATCTTTTGACTGTGTCAATAATTAAATACATAAATAATTATTATTTTTTTGGTAAGTACGGATATTTTTTTCTATTATTATTTTTATCTTTATAAGGTTTATTTTTAAAAAAAAAAATTCATAAGGATTGTGCAAGCAACCTAACTATGAAGTTATGTACTAATAATATGGATGTTTGTTATACAAACATGAACTAATGTTGTCACTAAATGTTTTCTTTGTTTTGTATTTTCAAGGTGCTTTTATTTATTTAAATTACAAGTATTTTTAATTTGTATTTCGAACTCTTAAATGACATAAATTCGTATGCATATGGTTTGATTAGAACAGATTGGTCGGCTTTCATTTTTATATTTTGTTACTTATGTAATTTATGATGACAGATATGTTTTTATGATCTAATTTATAAGTATGTCTGAAGTAATAAATAACATAAATAAGTTATTTTATTCTAATAAATTTTTTTAATACGTGCATCGCATTGGCTTAATCTAGTTATCTTATCTAATGTCTCACTCTATAATAGATTTATCAACAAGTACAACGTTTTTTTTGTTTCTTTTTGTTTTTTTTTATTTTGGTAAAAATACACAACTCCATTTTTTAAATAACTCGGAATACCTAACTTTGGGGATATTATATCCTCCAAAAATAATCTCAAATTATATGAGACTTGACAACTATGAAGAGCAAATTTTTTTCATTTTGTAATGTGCCCCTTTCTCTTTCAAAAAAGGATTATTCTGTTCTTCACTCAATTATTTTATTCTGTAGTTTGTGGTCTCTCCATTTCTTTTAATTTGTCCTTTTTTTTTTTGACAAGTCTTTTAACTTGTCCTTATTTACTTTTTATGCATAGTTTTTGATGAAATATCTGAACTTAATAAAATAAACTAAATATTATACAAAGTTGCTCCTTTTGGCGTAAAAACACATGCAATAGTTTGATCCAACGGAGTTTTTATATACTACCTCCATTTTTTATTATGTGCAATAAAAGGGTATTATTGTGAGACATAAAATATTTCTTTGTTGCACATAATAAGAAACGAATGTAGTTATTAAATTGAATTTGTTAAAATATTACATGAGGTATATATGGATTTTGTTTGAGGACTAAGGTCTTGTTCTCTTCACCTGAATTATTAAATATCCGCTAAAATAAGTTCAGTTCAATAAAAATCAATAATCGTAAAGAAAAATATAATCGAAAATCAATAACATATAATTTCAATTTAGTAAAATTAATTTCAATTTAATAAAAATATTTCAATTTAGCAAAAATAATATCATTTTAGTAAAAATAATTAATTAAAATGGCTCTTAATTATTTATAAAATTAAAGGTAAGCTATACAATCAAAGAACATAATAAAAGTAAACTAGGATGATAAAGTAGGAGTGGAAAGCCGGAGACAATGGAAAGAGAGAAATGTAAATAAAATAACATAAAAAATAGTGTTAAAATTATAAAGTATTATTTTAAACACAAATTCTTATATTATATGTGGCCATATGCTACTATGAGGTTACTTCATTAGTGTTATAAAAGGTATTCGATTAAAGTTACATGGGTTATTTCGTCAATGTTATAGGGGTTACTAGTCAGTCTTATATGGGTTATTCGATCACTGTTATAGGGGACTTAGGGGTTATTTTGTTCTTTTACAAGTAGCCACATGGTGTGGCCAACCACGCGCACACAAAACGTGTTGTATTTTAAAAAGTGTTGCATTTTAAAACAAACAAATGGAATATGAAAAGATGGAAAAAGTTGATCATTTGAAACTATGTATCCATATGAATGTAACAAGATTCTATACTTCCTTTTAGCTATGTTCAGTTCACCTGATTTTTGCTTATTTGATATCATTTGAACCTTTATTTAAATGATCTAATCCGAATTTATTTTTTATGATCCAATTTGATTGCCTAATTTGACTATAATTTGACCTTATTGTACGCTAATACATAAGGAAAAATAATATCGAATGAGTCTTATTAGATTTTTATTGCTATATATTTTATTAATAAGTAATTTTCATATTTTTTTCATTATGAAATTATAAAAGTTCTTTGGCGAATAAAAATCGCACAGTATATGATGAAGTATGTTTATAACTTTTTTAAATCTGAATTCACCGAGTGAACTTATTTTTTCTTCTAATCAGTACAACAATAAGGTAGATCCTATTGTCCTAGTTTTAAGGTGAACTAAACATAGTCTTAATTAACACAATTTGACAAACACAATGTTATAGACAAATTTAAATATTTATTTTTTCTTCTTATTATGCTATATAGTTGGTAGAACAAAAAATCGAAGATGCTCTATTCTTTTAAGTCTAGGAGTTTCACGGTTGTCCATACAAATCTATTACTATATACTAAAGCAAAATCTTAAGTTTTTTTGGGGGGAGGGGGATTTCCCTCTAAAACTTTGCTTTATTTTTTGGGTGTTGTTAAATGTCGTTCGCAATTTACTAGGTAACATTCGCATTTTATACTTGAATTTCCTAAATTGCCCTCCGTATATAAATACTCGATAAACTAAGTTAGGACACTGACGAGACATTTTCCGTCTTACAAAATCACTCTTTCACACTTTCTCCCTCTAAAACCTTCCAAAAATTTTGAAATTTTGAAAAAAAAAAATCAGAATTTTTTTTTAAAAACCAAAATCGTTGAAGGCTACTCAAACACAAGCAAATCTAGCAATTAAACGTTAAATCAGACAATGGCAGACCGACGAAGAATTGGACGGACGTTTGGTGGTTGTGGTGGTGGCGGCGAACCGGTGAGTTTTTTTTTTTTTTTTTTAAGTTTTTGAATTTTGAAAAAAAAAATCTGGAAACCGTGACATCTGCCCAGAAATTCCGGAAGTGGAGGAGAACATCCGGAAATTTTAGGCGAAAGTGGTGGTTTCCGCCTGAAATTTCCGGAAGTTCTGGGCGGAAGTGGTGGTTTCCAGAATTTTTTTTCTTTTTTTTCTTGTTTCCCTCGGTTTCGTTGATATCTTGCATTATTTTTTTAATTTTTATATTAAAAATATTTCTTTCCTTGATTTGTGGCATTAAAATAATTTTTTTCTTGATTTAGTCTTGCAATAATTATTGTTATGTATTTTTTCTTGATTTAGTTTTGCAATAATTATTGTTTTGCAATATTTCTTTCCATGAGTTTTAGTTTTGCAAGAATTCTTGATTTACATTTTAATAAGCTTGTTATTGTTATGTAAATTTTATTTGGTTTGTATTGGTATTTGTTATGTATTATGGTTGGTGACTTAAATTGTTATTATTGTTATTGTTACATTTTAATTGTGGCATTGTTTTTGTTGTATTTTATGATTTTTCTTTGTAATTCATGATTTTGCATCTTCATATTTGCAATAATAAGTCTGTTATTGTTATGTATTGTGTTTATTGTTATGTAAAATTTATTTGGTTTGTATTGGTATTTGTTATTGTTGTTATGTATTATGGTTGGTGACTGAAATTGTTGTTATTGTTATTGTTTTTTTTTTGGTTTGTGGTATTGTCGTTGTTGCGTTTTAATTTTGGCAATTTTGTGGTTAATTATAGTTTTGATTTGGTTTATTATTTTGTTGAAATTATTTGTAGTGTGTTATTAGTGTGTTGTTATTGTTAATAGTATATTAGTATTGTAAGAATAATATTATTGTTATTGTTAGTAATGTTGTTATTATTGTTTATTTGATTTGATTTATTATAGTGTTGATTTGATATTTTTGAATTTGAATTATTATTGAAATATGATTCTGTACTTATTTATTTAATGCAGATTAAGGGTTCTGGTCCTCGTCATGCAAGATCAAGACGTTTAAATGCGTTTGTTAGGAGGGAGTTAGGTGGTGCAGGAACTTCACATGCGCCATTTCACCATGAGCAGCAGTATGGGACTGCTGGTACTTGGTCGGGGGAGCATCAGTCACATGGGAGCGCCCCCATGTATTCGTCTACTAGAGTGCCTTCATCTGACGATGAGGATGAAGAGCGAGGAAGTCAAGCTGCTGGAGGTGCACAGTATGACCCTCAGGATTACTGTACTGTGTATAGGGGTGACCATGGGAGATATGTTAGTAGTAGTGAACAAGTTCAAGCTTCTACCAGCTCGTCAGAGTCATGGGTGGTGCAGGAGCCGATGCCAGGTGGGCCTGAGGATGGTACTGTTATTCCTAGTTTTGGGGGTCACGTGGCTGCCTACATATGGGGTGGGCAGGAGCGAAATGTTCTGCGGTGTTTGAGCAGGACACAGTTGTGTTTTGAATTGGGTAACTGGCGGGGTCGTCTTGCGCAAGAGCACCTGGAACTGATTGATGACAGTGGTCTATCTCACTTACCCGAGATCATGTTCAGGCGATTTGACTGGCCCTTGATTTCTGCTTTTGTTGAGAGATGGCAGCCAGACACGAACACGTTTCACGTGCCATTTGGGGAGTGATATACACGTTTTATACATATGTTTTTCCCGACTTTTCACTACATTCTTGTATAGTTTTAGGCTCTTTAGAGCCACTTTCCGCTAACATTCTCTTCTCTAGTGTGTTCGGTGCATTTTCATAAGTTTTACAGGAACTTGGAGTTTCCCGGATGATTCGGACACGTTTTGAGCGATATTGGAGATGTTGGTGAACAAGGATGTAAAACCGAGCTGAACAAGAATCGATCCTTGAAGAACAAGAAGCGAAAAGAAGATTTTATAACTGTGCCCGATCGAGCTCAGCATGCCCGGTCAGATCGGGCACAGAAGGGAGTGTTGGTTGACACTAATGTTGAAGCAAGGAAGCTATTCTAAGCTCTTATGCCACGCGCCCGATCGGGCAGGCCTCGCCCGGTTGGACCGGGCGCGTGGAGGCTGGAGGCGTTCAAGATTATGAAGATCAGCAAGGCATCCAGGGTAGACGTTGTGCCTCGCTCCCTATCGGGTGCTACCTGCCCGGTTGGATCGGGCGCAGAGGAAGTTCAGGGAAGAAAGCAGCGCTGTTGTTTATACCATGTGCCCAATCGGCCATGTCAATCCCGGTCAAACCGGGCACAGTTGTGTGCAACTCCGAATTCTAATTTTATTATTTTTAGGTCATTAAGGGTATAAATACCCAGTGTAATTTTCATTAGTGAATTATTCAGATTTTCCTTAAGTCCTCTTTCTCTCTCTAGAACTTTAGTTTTATTCCTTTTAGCAATTTAATTCTTAGGTTAGATTTGGGTATTGTTGATTAACAATTTGAGTAATTTCAATTGAAGCATCATTGGTATTCATCTCTATTCCTTTCTCTTTCAATTATTTATGCTTTTCAATCATGTTTTCTATAATTATGATTGTTATTGCTTTCTTCAATATGTGTGAGTAGATTTCTTATTCCAAGATTTAGGGTAGCCCAATTATGATTGATGCATGAGTTAATTCTTTAAATTCTCTAATAACCATTGTAATTGTCTATGCTAAATTGATTGTGATTATGCCAATGCTATATTAGAGATAATTAGTATTGTTATTATTCCATTGTTTCTATCACAACGAGAGTTGGATTTTAACGGAATTGAGTAAATTGATTTAGGATTTGAATTTCAACATGAGAATAGTTGAACGGATAATTGGGAATTGAAGTAAAATGTTTAATGTTTCTAAATTTCATGATACCATGAGAATAGGCTTGATTGTGGGTTAGGGAAGCCATTGATACTCGAGAGAGGTCCTTGGTATTGGTTAGAGTTTACTTTTCCCCGTGTTAATTGGAATTGTATGTTAGGGGTAGATATATAATTGCATCGATTGCAATTGTGGTGATACTTGATCTTGGATGTTTTAGCTTATTGATTCATTATATTCTTTTGATTTATTCTAGTTTTTCCATACTTTAGCTCTTAGTTTATTCCATCATTGTTTGATTCTTTCTTGGTAATTACTTGAGTCTAGATAATTTAGGTGAACCTTAGTCTCTTGGGATTCGACCCTTATTTGTCCGACTACATAGTTAGGAGGAATAGTTAGGTTATTTTTGTTAGGTACGCGACACGCCTATCAGGGAGATCACGATCATGCTGCATGATGTGTATCATATTCTAGGGCTTCGTGTTGATGGTTCCATGGTTTCCACTACTCCTAGCACGGACGTTTTTACGGGACGCGTGCTCGATTATCTTGGATATGACTGCGGAAGAGCTGAATGAGAAGTGCGGTACTAAAACCGTATGGTAGGGTAGTGGGGTGCTGACTGAGAGGATAATGGAGTCGACCTTGGAGGCGCAGAGGCCCTTCAGTTTCCATTACAGGGCGTACCTGTGGTTAGTACTTGGCGGATGTATGTTTTTGGACAAGAGTGGAAACCGTACTCATCCTTCCTTCCTCAACGAGCTTTTTGTTGAGGATGTTCAGATTAGTGAGTACTCCTAGGGTTTTGCTGTGCTAGCATACATGTACCGGCAGTTGGGTACAACATCATGAAAAGATGTTGATTCTATCGCCGGATGTCTTACGCTTCTGCAGGCGTGGATCTACGAGTACTTTCCGTGTTTTCGGCCTCAGCAGGGGACCTTGACCAGAGAGCTTAATGTTCCTCGTGCGTCCGCCTGGGATGTCGGATCGGGGTGCCCCAACAAGAGCATGGAGCGCCTTCTCGCTTTTCGTGCTAGGTTGGATCATTTGACTGACAATGAAGTTAACTGGCTACCGTACGGAGTTGATCCAGCACGACGCGTGCCTGCTACTCTTTTCATTGGATGCATCCAGTATTGTAGCATCATTGAGCCATATATGCCTGATCGAGTGGTTCGACAACTTGGATACGTCCAGGGCATTCCACAAGCTATCATCAGGCCTAAGAAGGAAAAGAGACCGACGAACTTGAAGATGTATCGAGTTGACTTTCCGCTAGAGATGACATCTGTGATGTGGACTCGGTTTGTCCTTGGTGTGTCTTTCAGTGTCATGATAGGTTCCCTCAGCAGACTTGGTGGTGGTGCTCCTACGGTCGGTCTTGGTTACATGCAGTGGCTGTACCGATTTTCTCATCCACGTGTTTCTCCAGTTGCATCATCACATGAGAGTCGCACACTGCCAGAGAGAACTAACACGGATTACGTAAGTAGTTGTGTTTTTTGGTACTATAATTATGATTAGAAAAACTTGTGATTTATTTAATATGTTGTTTTTTTAATTGAAGTGGATGGGTCAGTCCATGGAGGTCATCAACAGGACACTGGAGAAGTATCCGAGCTTGTCGCGTGATACAAGAGCAATGGCTGAGGCGCTACAAGCTGATTGGAGGGCGATGATGGGGTTGTGAACTTGCTGCTTTTTATTTTTATTTCACTTGTACGCATTTCGTTTATATACTATTTATTCGTCATGTACTTTAAGGATTGAACAACTGTTTTTGTGGTTTTGTTGAAACTTTGTTTAATTAAGTTAAATTCCTTACAAATTACATAACTACAACTGTTTAACATAAATGAAAGTACAAAAATATGTTCATTATCTAATTAAGGCATCCCACATGTTCCTTCTAGCTGTGTAACGCTGATCCTAACCGTCAACACTTGGGTCGTGGTTCTCGGTCCACCAACCTGCAATCGGGGGAAGTGGCGAATCTGGTGCAAGTTCAATACAAATAAAATGTGAGCCCCCAACTATAGCGATGACAAACTCTCGCTCCGGTGCTGTGACCCCCCCTTCTTGCCCGCAACGGCAATATCGTGAGGCATGGGTAGTAACAGGTTGGTGTTTGACCTACACAAAGAATAATAACCACTGTGTTGAACCAAGTCGCAATAGGAAATGAATCTTGAATTGTAGCCATCCAATGACGAGAATCAACCGCCCCACCGTCCCATCGAATACGCTCCACATTGATCTCAAGTCTTCCAAGCCCATAAATCCTCTCATATAGGGCTCGATAACCGAGGACCTCATTCGCTATTGTTTCTCGAGCGTCATACCATCGCCCTTGATCACCGAAGAAGAACTCGACCACACAACGAAACCCACAGTTACCATCGCCAATGACATCCTTCCATCTTGTGATGTAAGGCAACATCGGCCCTGGAAGCGAGTGTCGATAATGGCTTTGGCTAATGTGTTCTCTACATATTGTATCACTGCTGGATAACTTGCCCACCTATCTTTCATTATATCTACAGCGGCCTCATAATCATCCTCGGTTGCAGCGTCTATGATACGTTTCCATTTTCCGTTTTTGAAAGACGCACCGATCTTCTAGTTTTTGAACATAGCAGTGACCCGAGCCTCCACACCTTTGTTAATGTGCCATCGACAAAGTAAGTGCGAGGTCCCTGGAAACACTTCCCTCAATGCAGCACATAGCCCAAGCTCACGGTCTGTCAAGAAAACCGACGACTCCTTATCATACCCAATCACGTCTCTCAACCTCTGCAAAACCCATCGATAGCTTGCCGTGCTCTCGTTGCGCATGAACACGTAACCGACGAGAAAATTCTGATTTGTCGGTGTTACACTAACTATCTCAAAGAACGGCATCCCGTATCGGTTAGTCTTGTAAGTGGAATCCGTACTGATCACATATGGGTACGTCCGTAGGATGTCTACCATGACTGGGTGCGCCATAAAGGCGTGCTGTAAAATGCCTTCATCATCAGACATGACCCAGTAAAGATACTGACTCTGTCTCGCCAAATGTAGAAATTGCTGAACAACTCCTCTCCCATCAGACATCTCCGCTCTAAAGTCATTCCGGCAGTTGTTGATGTGTTTGATGTTTGGATGATCATCAGGAAATTGCTCCGCAATAGTCGCCATCATGTTATGCGGTGCAACCTTAGACTTCGTCATGTCACGCACAACCTGCTTCGCATTTGGGCTCAACCCACTAATTTTACGATGACTCTCCGGATACGCAATCATTGGATGGTTGTGGGTCCCAGTTGCATCATCTTTCGCCCAGATAACCCAAGTATTGGTGATGAACTCGTAACATATCTTGATGTAGAAAGGACAACCAATGCCCTTGGTTTTGGTGTCCTTCCGAATTGCGTTCTCAAGATCTCTCGGCTTACTCCTGCGTCCCCGATCACATCTTAAATATCGATATGGTTGACCATCTCTCTATTTGTTGAAAGACGATTTCACCAAAATAAATCCCAGATTTATTGCAACAGCATCCGCCCATATAACTGCATCCTCAAACGTTAGAAAAACCGTGTCGGTCACAAAATGTGCACTGTAATTCACAACGTCACCGCCGTCTTCAACCTCCGAATCCTATAAAATTACAACACAAACAAATAAAACACGCAAGGATTATATTTAAATTTAACAATAATAATAATAATAATAATAATAATAATAATAATAATAATAAGAAAAATAAAAATAACAATAATAATAGTAATAATAATAATAATAATAATAATAATAATAATAATAATAGTAACAATAATAACAACAACAACAACAACAACAACAATAACAACAACAACAACAATAATAATAATAATAATAATAACAATAATTATACTAATAATACTAATAATAATAACAACAATAACTACATAACATTAACAAATAATAACTATTAGAATAATAATAATAACAATAACTAACATTCACATAAAGTAATACTAACAAAAAAAAGTAACAATAACAATAATACAATACAAAAAACAATTTCAAATAACAAAATTTACGCAACCCAATTTATGCGCGCCAAAACAATAAAAATAATAAACATCCAACAACAACAAATAATCATACTAACAACAACAATAATATTAATAATAATAACAACAATAGTAATAATAGTAGTAATAATAATATTATTGATAATAATATTAATAATAATCATAATCATAACAAAAATTTAGTAATATTAACAAAATTAATAATAATAATAATAATAACCATCATAATAATAATAATAAGTACATAATATTAACAAATAATACATAATATAAACTAATATAACTATTATTCATAATAAAAATAATAAAAAGATAATTACGTAAAAATATATACATATATATGTATATATATATGTATATATATATATATATATATATATATATATATATATATATATATATATATATATATATGTATATAAAGGACATCCACCCAAAAAATCCGGATGTTTTAGTGGGGATCCGCCCAAAATTTACGGATCTCCCACTTAACATCCGGAAATTTCAGGCGGAAAAAAACAATTTTTTTCGAAAAACTAACAGATTCTTCTGACAAACCCTCCGGCGTGTGAATGTTGTCGTCGTTCATCGTCAAACACCGCTCCACATACACTTTCCGTTTTTGCCCCGGGATTTTTAAATTCCTCGGGATTACCGTACAATGGTGGGACCGGGAATTTTTGGGGCTCGGGATTTTTTTAGGACAAGTGGTGGGCTCGGGAATATTATTTGGCTTGTCGGTAACTAAAGTGACTCATGGTGGACCCTTATATAGAAAAAATACACACAAGGGCAAAAATGTCATTTCACCTAAAAATGGGAGCGTCACCCTGTAATTTGCGAACGACGAATAGCAGTTCACTAGGCAGTTCACTATTTTTTTTTATTATTACAAGCTAAGAGGCACACACTACGTGTGTACAGTATAAGTAATTTTATTTCTTTAAATAATAGTGTTTATATAAAAAGAAATTAATAATTTTTTTGATAATAAAAATAAAAAAGTCATACAATAACAATTACTAAAGAAATTCGAATTGAACGAATACATGATCGAATAAAATTCTTCTATAGAAATTATAGTCGTCAAATGGATCCTTTTGAGAGAGAATTAAATATAATAATAGATTGTTGTGATATATGTACGATTAAAGAGTGCAGGTTTTTTTTACCAAAGAAAAAAAAAACAACTTTTGTACGTGATATATATTTTTAAATTTTTATTTTATTTGTAAAAAAGCAGTTTTTATTGGTGGTTATTTTTTTCTATGTGGCATGAGTAATTGTTTTTTTTTCTTCTTCTTTTTCAGTCAGGAATAAGGGGTAGTTATAGGGAAAACAATTTGAACGATTTCTATAAATATTGTTTGAATCAAAATTAACTCCCGCTTTACATCGTTTTAAAAACTTATTCCCTGCACAATGTCCACATAGGATCGGATATTACCTAGGTTTTTTCTTTTTGTTCAGTGTACAACCCCAATTGTTGATAGCGGTTTTTCATATATAAACCGCAATTGATAGTAGCGGTTTTACATTTACCATTGCAAAAGTTATTGTGCCGTACGATTGCAATTTTTGGTAGCGGTTGAATTTGAGGAACCAACAAGATAATTGTTCAACTCTAAAAATAATTGTTAAACTCCATGAAATTTTCAATTACATGCCCAAAAATTGACCATAATTTCGAATTAATTTAAGAATAAAAACAAAATATTCATGATAAAATTATCAATTAACCACCTACTGACGACGTTGAGAGATCGTTAGCAATGACGATTTACGATTGATATAATAATGGTTAAGGGTCTTTTTTGACAAACGCTCAGAGCTTTATTAATAAAACTAAGTGAAGAAGAATACAAGAGGTTAGGCTTAAAAATGACATGTCAGCAGTTTTATTAATAAAACAGTTAATGTTGATTGCGGCTTATTAGTTAAACCGCTATTACTTTTAGCGGATTTACTCATTACAAAAATAATTAAAAAATTTAGAGTCCGATCCTATGTGGACACTATTAAGGGAATAAGTTTTTAAAACTGACGCAAAGTAGAAATTAATTTTGTTTTAAACAATTCCTTGAGAAATCGCTCAATATTTAATATTTAATTGTGCATAAAAGATATATAAATGTGGACTACGTGATTGACTATGATATTACTTTTCCTCAACAAAGTTAAACGTGGATCACTTTACAAAAACCAAATATGTGAAACGTGGGTTGTGCCTTGTGGGAAGGATGTCCCTTTTTTTTTTTTAATAAAAAATAGATAGATAATTTAATCTGTTTTATTTTTTTTTAATTTATTGACTATTATAAAATTATCATTTTTTATACTTTGTAAGATTTAGTGGTTGTGGTTTTATTTATTGACTTTATCTTTAGAGATTGACATGAATATTTAAAAATATGCATAAAAAGATATTAAAAAATGCATGAAATTGATATCATTGAAATCATACCAACATTTTTTTATTTTTATTTATTAATTTTTTTAATATTTAATTTTTATGTTTTATGAATTTTTGAAAAAAAAGAATATATAGTGAAACGTAAAACAAAACGCTTAGTTTAAAAATATGCATAAAAAAAATGTTATCATAACATTTTCACAAATTTTGAAGCCGTATAATTGGATTCAAACTATTCAAAAAAAAAAAAAAAAAAAAACGCTTAGTTGTGAGCAGTTAGGATTTTTTTTTTGTAAATACGAGTAACAATTACATTGTTTTTTTTAGAGGGAAACAAAAAGAACAAAACAAATGGTGGTTTAAAAAAATATGTGAATTCTATTAAAAAAATGAATTAGTAAATTTGGAAATTGAGAATGGCATTTTGGAAAAGTCAAATTTATCACCCAAGAAACCCTTTCTCTTTATATAATATATAGATTATTATATTATATTATATTTTTTATTTTTAGATTTTTACATAATCATTAATATTTCTATGAGCATTATTATTAATTATCTATTATTATGCATGTTTCGGGGTTTTTTGGAGTCCCTTGGGAAAGTTACAATTCCGGGAATGCGCGTCGACCGTCTGTACCTGCAAAACCACGAAACTCCGGTTGGGTGGAGTTCCGCCTCCTACGATCAAGTTAAAACGTCTCCAGATGTATAAAAGTGCGGAAAGTAAATGGGTTGTCTCTCTGATTCAGAGAGAATTCTGCAATTAATATTGCTCGATTTTTTGTGTTTGTATTTATGAATGTGTAATAAATGAGGATTTTCCTCTATTTATAGTAGAAGAGGATCAGTTCCCCTATTAGGGTTACAGTGCCACGTGTCAGCATCCGATTGGATCCCATTAAGCCTCTCTGAGGCTGACATGTTTTAGCATGCCATTGGGCCATGTGGCATAGGGTAATTTTACCCCAAACATTTGCCCCTCACAGGTGTGACTGGGGATGCCGGCTGGGGGTGTTTGGACCACCCTTACTCTTCTACGAATTCGACCGTCTCTGTTCATGTGCAGGACAGAATGGCTCGGACAAGGAAAACGGTTGTTGACCCCGAGTACCAGCCAGAACTCCGGTTGATGATGCTCCTTATGACCAACCGGGCGTACCTAGCACGCTCGGAGATGAGATTCTTGAGGAATCCGGGAGCTCAGACGATGAGGAGACCGTCCAGCAATCTGACTCCACTGAGTCAACAATGGAGCCGGATGCCCCTCAAGAGGATGAGGAGGCATACAATTGGCCTTCAATAAATAACCCAACAGAGGCGCACATGAGCGCCCGGGACGTTATTACCTTAAATGCAACCCTCCCGGCATTTTTGGAGAAGCGCCCGGTAAGGGCCAGATGGGAGGTCGTCGTTTCGCCTGTGGAGGCATCCGTTGTCTGGGATGACGACTTGGACCACGCCAATGTTTACCTTGGCTGCTATGAGGCGGAATTCAAAGCCGGCCTCTGGTTCCTCCTTAACACAATTAAAGCCATTCTAAGGGGTTACGACCTTGGCGTCTGGCAGCTCACACCCAACTTTTGGGTGAACATTCTGGGGTACATAGCCGCTTGTGAAATGCAGGACATAACACCTAGCTGGGAGGCGTTTGCACATAATGCACTATCTTAGTCGTGACCCAGGCGGCTGGAATGCGTGGTACACATTGACCACGCATCCGGAGTACATGATGACGCTGGAGAAGCCGTCTAAGTGGACCAGCTGGAAGAGAAAATTTTACATGGTCTCTTCCCCTTCTCCGGCTGTGAACCACCGGCTGCGTCGCTACAATAAGCACCCGGCTTTATTGGGAAAGAAGTGTGCCCTCCCCAAGATACCGGAGAGGTCCTGGGATTAAATAATGGAGCCGAGCCTTTTTAAGAAAACTACCCTGCCTCTGGATGATGGGACACAAGTCATTGACCCTAAGTTCTGGGTCCCTCATCCGGATTGGTTCAAAGACGAGGCGTTCCTTTCTACCTGTGGTCTTAGCACTTTCTGGAGCAAACGTACGTTAATTGCTTAACCGGCGTCTTATGCCGCCTGTATGGTGTTTGAATGTCTCGAACTTTATTTTTCCTTTTTGCAGAGAAAGGACTCGAGATGGTTCCTCCCGAAAAAACTCCGACCAAGTCAGCCGCTGAAATTCGGAAGGAACATCTTGAGAAAAAGAAGGCCCAACTGGCGGCCAAAGATGATGGGGAAAGCACCGCTTGATCTTTTTACCGTCTGTATGACTTGCAACCCATTTTAATACTAACCGGTTGCTTTGCTTTCTTTTGCAGACGGGGAGCAAGAACGTCCCTCGGTCTCTAAGGCAAATGCTAAAGAGGCCGGGAGAGGATCTCGCCTAACCTTCTTCACAAAGGCGGAGGGTCTCGCCTGCCCCTGCCCCTGCCTCTGTCGGAAGACATCCTGCTCTTGAGAGGCCTACTTCAGTAGGCAAAAGTTTGCGAGATCTGGGCTTGGGCTTAGGGCCGCCTGAGGCCAGAGCTAAGGAGCCTGAGGTTCCCTCTAGCCGGGTGCTTGCTGTTGCATCCGGTTCTAATGAGGCTAGGGGTGGTGTCACCCCTCAGCCTGAAAACCAGGGTACTCCTCTCACCTTTGACCCCCCTTTGCCGCTTGGGCATGTTTGAGTCAAGTCCCAAGCTACCTAGTCAGGGGATTCTTCATGCAGCCGGCAGAATATAGGCGCTGCATATGCTCAGTACTTAGCAGATAAATCTCATGATGCAGATGCCTCTTCTCGTTGGCCGGATCTGCAAAACTACACCAAGAGAATGCTGCGGACTCTCACCCGGTCCGAAAAGGAGGCGGTACCGGGTATCAATCAGGTCAACATTGACCACATCAACTCACTGCTGGCTGAGGTAATTTACCGGTTGGGGTGCTTTTGTGCAATTTTGCTCATTGCCGGTTGTAGCATAACTGAGAAGCTTACTTCTTTACGGCTGACTTTGCAGGTGATGTTGAGGGTTGATGGGATGAAGGTCCCCTTGCGAAAAAAAACAAGAGGAGGTAAGGGATGCCCAGAGACGGGTAACCGAATTAATAGATGTCTCACAATATCACTCCCTTATGCTTGAAATCCAAACTAAAAGCTGGGAGATGAAACAGGAGGAGCTGATCAAGGA